GTTTATTTTTATACATTCTCTTTCTATTTTAATTTTAGTTAAAGTTTTAGTCATTTTGTTGCTTTTTTTGTCTTTTGTTTTTTTAAAGATTTATTTTTGGCGTTATATGCCTTTTTATTTAGATAGGTCAGCAGGTCGACAGGAAGCGAACTGGGTGAGAGAGAGAGGGGGGTGGGATCGGGAAAGGTCCACGAGCCGGGACTCGAACGCGGGACGCCCGAAGCGCAAAGGCGCTACATGTCGGCGCGCTGCCCACGAGGCCATTGGCGCCGACCTTTTTTGTCATTTTTATCTTTATAGTTTTTATTTAGTTTTAGTTATTTTAGTAATTGAAATTTAACTGAAAATGGGAAATAGTTGCATTAGCAACTATAGGAAATAAAATAAGTTTAAGGGTTATATATATATATATATATATATATATATATATATATATATATGTGTGTATATATATATCATTTTACTTAAGTTAAAGTTTATTTCAAGTAATTATTTTTTAAATACTTTTATATAATGGTAACCCTGATGCACAGTAAAGATTGACATGGTAAAGCTTTATTATTACAATTATCATTGTTGGTAATATTTGTAACAATAATAAATCTCTATCAGTGATCGGGAGCTTCACAGTGTCCCAGCAGACATGGCGTTTGTGCTGGATCGTCTCTCCTATAAATCACCCGTCTCAGAAGAGCTGCTTGTGAAGGATCTGACCCTTAAGATCAGTCAAGGAACGCACATGCTTGTGGTGGGAAACACAGGAACAGGGAAGACCTCCCTGCTCCGGATCCTCAACGGCTTGTGGGAACCATGCAATGGTAAGCTTCAGAGATGACAGACAATAAAATAAAAAAAACATCTGATTTGTTAAAACATACTGCTTTCCTGTTGCAGGTTCTGTGGAGATGACCACATGTTTTGGACCGAGGGGTGTGCTTTTCCTGCCACAGAAAGCATATCTTACTGATGGCACTCTCAGAGAGCAGGTGAGAAAAGAGAAACCCTACTCTACATATAGTAAAAACTCATTTTTATTATTTTTAACAAAAACTGTACACATATATGTTTATACACACTAATTTGCTGGTTTTCCCTTTAGGTTATCTATCCATTAAAGAATATATATCCTTCCTCAGGTACAGATTAACCTAATTCCAGAAACTTAATGATATGCATTATTTAAATGATATATGAATATAGCTCAAATATAGTGTACTTAGTTACAACTGTAGTACAACTGTGTATGCAATGTGTTACAAAACTAAACTTTACTTTTTTGCCAATGCAAACTTTATAACCAATTATACAACACACTTCTGGTGGTGTAAACATAGATTATGATGACTTTTTGCACTTTTAACTAATATCAATTCTTCTTTTAGGGTCTATAGATGATGAACGAATACTAAAGTACCTGGAACTTGTTGGTTTGGTAAGACTTGACTGATATTGTAATGTCTGCTATTATTGATTTTAAAATATGGTTGCTCTGAATGTTCTGTAAGCAGGATGTCTTTGTGTATTTTGTATGTCAGTCGAATCTTCTGACCAGAATAGGAGGACTGGATACAAAAGTAGACTGGAACTGGTGAGAAATTAGTATTAATATCTAGAGATAAAAATTTTGATTTTTTTAAGAACATACAAAAATGGAATGCCCTTGTTTTTCACAGGGATGATGTTTTATCGCCAGGAGAAATGCAGAGGCTTTGTTTTGCTAGGCTGTTTTACCTGCAGCCCAAATATGCAGGTCAGTTTCTGCATAGTTTCATCAAATTTCCTGTAGCTTTAATTACTACAATCAGTCAGATGATCCCATTCATGTCCTGTGTCAAGAGTAAGACATGCGGTTTGTTTTAGTACTGGATGAGGCCACTAGCGCTCTGACGGAGGAGGCCGAGGGTCAGCTCTATAAGGCCTGTAAACAGCTGGGAATGACCCTCATCAGTCTGGGTCACCGTAGCACTCTGAAAAAGGTGATGATCTATGTTTCACATTCACTAAAACAACATGGCAAACTTTATTGTATGGCCTGTCCTTAGAATTCTTTTTTTTGTTCTTTAAACAGCATCATGATATCATGCTGCGACTGTGCGGAGGTGGCCAATGGGAGCTCACCAAACTTAAAGAGGCGTGAACCTTCAAACTTCAAACCCACTATAATGAGAAAATATCGGTCCGTTTTGTAGTTATGGGTGCATTCAGTCTTGAGACTCTGGAGATATCTTGTTTACTTGACAGTATACTGCGATTTACTGAAGTTCTTGATACACTAATTAAGCAGTATGAGTCTTTTTGATACTGTTTGTCTCAACATACATTTCATATTGCAATATATGCCTTTTTTATTATGCAAGTATATGCTGCTTCATTCAGCCTTTATTGGTTGTTTGCACAAAAAAGGGATTTTTATAATGAAGGACATTAAAGAGTATTTCAAGAATAATTTTGGATAAAGTGCCTATAGAACATATTTCAAATATATATTTTATAAATATTAAATATTTTATTAACTTTGCTGATATTAAACTATCAATGTCCAAGCAAATGTCAAAATGGTCTTTTTGGTCATAGTTGGACATCTTTTTATGGAAAGATGTTTACTCTAGTGCAGTGGTTCCCAAACCTGTCCTGGAGGACCCCCAGTGCAGTGGTTCCCAAACCTGTCCTGGAGGACCCTCTGCCCTGCACATTTTGTATGTCTCCCTAATCAGACACACCCAATTTAGTTCTTACAGTCTCTACTAACGAGCTGATAAGTGGAATCAGGTGTGTTCGATAAGGGAGACATACAAAAGGTGCAGGGCAGGGGGGCCTCCAGGACAGGTTTGGGAACCACTGCGTCTAGTGTTTGGCTGCACATTATTCTGGAGGGAAAATATCCATTTCTGTAATTTCTCTGCCTGACCAGTAGAGGGTCAACATTTTCCAGCCACAGAGCTGAATCACAATTCAACTCCATTAATAAATTTTGTACCAGTTTAATTAAGCTCAGAATTAAAATAGCTCATTCTCTATTCCTAATACATACTCTATTAATGAATTTGAGCAATAAATACTTTTTCTCAAATGCATCATTTTAAATGTATTTGAGAAAAAGACAAAAGTATTTAGCACATCTATAAGGAAAGGTGTGATCGGTCTGGAGGAAATACAGTAGATTGTGAAAAATGTACAGCCTCACAAACCACAATATCTCCCTGCTAGAATACAGTATATTTAGCTCCAAGTTAAAAATAGCAAACTTTCTCACTTTATGTTTAGAAACAACTTGATCTGATCTGTGTTTTGTATTTATAGTATTCTGTGTATATATATATGGCATGCATATACTACCTCTGGCCACAATGAACTCTATCTCAAGAGTTAGCAGTGTATCTGCAGTTTATCTGTTGCCATGCAGGGAACACGTATAGCCTAGTAGTTCGAGTTTAAACTAGTTCTTAAAAGAAGAAAACATGGATAATTTGCATAACCAGACATTTATGTTAGCATTGCAGTACAAGCGCTGAGCATTTGTGTTACATTAAAACCAGGCAGGATTGTGAAAGCTGCACATTTGCAAACTAAAGCATCAAAATTATCCCTCCCACCAAAGAGTTTGACTGATCCCACTGCTTGAGTTTCAGGCCGTTTTAAATGTGAGCCTGGCCGATCTGCTGCTGTCAATCAACAGGCACGGGAAAGACCCACTAGTCATTCAGGAAAATATGAGACAATCAGGAGAGGAATAACTAAACCAAATAAAATATCCTTACTGTACACTATAAAAAATGCTGGGTTGTTTCAACCCAATGTTGTGTCAAATATGGACTAACCCAACTGTTGGGTTAAATTTTGGTTACATTTTTTAATTAGCTTTTTAACCCAACAGTTGGGTTAGTCCATATTTGACCCAACATTGGGTTGAAACAACCCAGCATTTTTTAGAGTGTAGCTACCTATGTGTATTGAATCTTAAAATTTAAACCAACTGCTTAAATTCACACTGTAACTTGCAGGATTGTTCAAATATAAAGTTCATAAAGGAAAAGGATGTTAATCCTTTTAGTAAAATGCCACAAACCCAAACCTATCCCTGTTGAAAAAACCAGCATATGCTGGTTAGGTATGTTTTGATGCTGGGATGCTGGTTTAAGCTGGTCCTTTGCTGGTTTATGCTGGTCCTTTGCTGGTCCTTTGCTGGTTTAAACTGGTCCTTTTGCTGGTTTAAGCTGGTCCTTTGCTGGTTTAAACTGGTCCTTTGCTGGTTTAAACTGGTCCATTTGCTGGTTTAAACTGGTCCTTTTGCTGGTCCTTTGCCAGCACATAACCAGCATAAACCAGCAAAGGACCAGCAAAGGACCAGCAAAGGACCAGCAAAGGACCAGCAAAGGACCAGCAAAGGACCAGCAAAGGACCAGCAAAGGACCAGCAAAGGACCAGCAAAGGACCAGCAAAGGACCAGCAAAGGACCAGCAAAGGACCAGCAAAGGACCAGCTTAAACCAGCATTCCAGCGTCAAAACATACCTAACCAGCACATGCTGTTTTTTTCAACAGGTATATCAGTATTTTGAAACACGATTTTAACAGCATATACAGTAGCTGTGCTTTTCTTTGTCTATGTTTGTTTCTAAATGTAAAAAAAATAACAATAGGCAATACAATTTGATTAGTCATATTTAATGTAATGCAATGTAATTTAAAATCCTTGTGACTATTGCACTAGTCAGAAGTAGCCCATCTACTGCAACAGATATCTCGAGTCCATAGAATATAATAACAATAATGTGCAATTTGTTACTGCGTTAAGTAAATAAAGCAATAGCTTTGTAGAAACTTCAAGAGCTTAATTTGGAGAAACTGCTAAAACGGTTTGCCATACAGGTTGAGGTGAAGCGGCTGTTCAACAATAAGAGTCACTTCACCTCGGTCCGACATTTGCTCCGGTAAGTGACGGATCTATTTTCAACGGGAGGTTGAACCGATACAGGAGCGTCACACAGAAAGCAAAGACACTGAGGGATAAAACACACTGTCCTCCCCCTCTACAGTTCACGGAATTTACCTGTTTTCACGAGGATATCTTCACATGCCAACATCGGATATTTATGAACATCCGCATCGGTTTATATCAGTAACTTGACGGGAAAAAGGTAAGAGGCGTTTTTTTTAATCGTTATAAAATATTAAAACGTGAAACTTTCAATAACTGAGGGAATACTTTTCTCTCGCCTTTTCAATGTTTCTATGTTATTTTATTACATATGTCGCAAATTCAACAAGTTTGAACTGATTACGTTACTTTATTATTTTGTTGCTCAGTTTAAATTTTAACGTTGTTTTTAATTATAAAAACGCAAGGAGAGATCCACGCAGGCGAAAACGTCTGCTGCTCTTTGAAACGAAATTTATAAGTTTAGAAATAGGCTATGCCATTGACTAAAACATATATATCGCACAGCAGGTCAAAACTCTTCTACAAATGGACATAGTGCAGACGGACTCCGACAGCTGAGGTTATTTTTGGGATAGGCAGCTCAGGGGAGTGAGGTGTCAGAGATGGCAAATGTCATGCTTTTCAAAGACCAACATCCGGTAACACTTTATTTCGATAGTCCACGTTAGACATTCTATTAACAGTAAGTAACTTTGCAACTACATGTCAACTAACAGTTAGTAGAGTATTAGTAGACTGTCTGCTTAATATCTTCTAACACTTTCTTTGTCAACATTCTACTAACCCTAAACTTACCCTAGCAGTCTACTCTGAGAGTTAGTAGACATGTAGTTGCAAAGTTACTTATAGTTAATAGAATGTCTAAAGTGGACTATCGAAATAAAGTGTAACCCAACATCCTTTTGTTTAACTTTGTTACACTGGAATTCTACCTCATCAGTAAAACTTACTTTCTGTGGTGAGATTTCACTAGATCATCCACTGTTTTGTTGGAGATAGTAGATTCAAGTTGATGACCTATTAATGTTATAAAGATGGAGGTCAATACCATTATTGTTTCTAGATACAAGACTTCCTAGGTTATTTTACATTGGACATTCCATGTACAGTTCTGTCAAAATTGGACAATGTTCATTTTGACCACCCCATGTTTTGTGGCTTCTAGTGCATGTCCATTTGCTCTAGTGTCATTTATATTCTAGTATCCCCCTAAACAATGACAATATAACTTTTAGTCAGTTTACTGTACATTCACAGTTGTTCTATTTTTGGAAAATGGACAAAAGATATCAATGGCTTGTCCTACTCTTTTTATTTTTATTTTTTATTTTTATTGCATGCAGGAAAGTGTAGCAGTGTGACAATATTACATTATATCATATCAGCTTGCGTATTGCTACATAGAAAAAGATGAATTCTGGCAAACATGAACATGAATGAACATGGCAAACTTGTTTTAATGCTTTGTTTATACATTTGACTCTTTAAACCAACTAGCATTATTTCAAATTTGTGATGGGATAATGGAGAGGTTTGAGTGGGCATCTCTAAAAGTAGGCCTCTCTCATTTCTCAAAATGTCTATTTCAGGATCTTCTTGACATGGTTATTTGTCATTAGCACACCCTCTTTATTCAAACTGACTTACAGTATGATGTTGAAAAGCAGCTTTTTCAGAAACGTCCTTGAGATTAGTTGCAAGATTTAATAGTGGCAAGATGCAAATATGTAAAGCTTTTATATGATCTCAGTTCTTATGTTTCTCCTCTATGCATTGACCACAACTTTAACTTTTATTCAGGTGTGTTATTTTATCTCTACAGAAAGCAAGAATGGATCAGAATCTATTTGGTGGGGCTCCACGGTTCCTAACTCGACCCAAGGCCTTCTCGCTGTGTGTGGGACGAGATGCCTCCCTCAGCTGCACTATTGTAGGAAACCCTGTTCCCGTGGTCACCTGGGAGAAAGGCAAGATGCTTCTTTCTGCAGGTGGACGCTTCAAGAAAGTAGAAGATGGTGACGTTTACCGACTTACCATCTACGATCTAACTCTAGAAGACAGCGGTCAGTACATGTGTCGTGCCAAGAACAATGTCGGAGAGGCATATGCAGCTGTGGCCCTGAAGGTGGGACTGCCGGAAACTGTGATTGATCGGGCCCCAGTGTTTACAGTAAAGCCTGTCTCCACCCGTGTGGGTCTAGGGGGTGACGTTACCTTCTATTGTCGGGTGGCAGCCCATCCAGCACCCAACTTTGACTGGGAAAAGGATGGTCGCTACCTGGGTGAGACCAACCGCATCAAGATAATCTCGGAAAATGACTCCAGCTCCTTGAGGATCCAGAGTGTTAGGAGCTTGGACAGTGGTACCTACACCTGCCGTGTGCAAAACTCCATTGGCCGTGCTCAGGCCGCTGCTGCTCTGGTGGTCGACCTTCAAGATACTCATCTCCTGAATGCAGACAAGAGCACATCCCTCCTCTCACACATGCAGAAGCGGAAAGAAGAAATGCGGAAGGACATCTCCTTATACCGTACCATGGAAAGTTCCTCAACCACGCATACAACTTCATCTTCCATGATCACAGAGGAACATGGAAGCTTGGGACTCGCCTATGATCAGGAGCAGAGGGTTTCAGCCTTAACCAGCATGTTGCCCAAAGGTGTGTTTACCCGCACCTGTACGGTGACCGAGGGTAAACATGCAAAGCTTAGCTGTTTCGTCACAGGCCATCCCAAACCTCAGATTATCTGGAGGAAGGATGGGGCGAACATCAGTGAGGGCCGCAGACATGTTATGTATGAGGACCAGACGGAGAATTTCATCCTCAAGGTGCTCTACTGCAAACAAAGTGATAATGGGCTGTACACCTGCAATGCATCCAACTTGGCTGGACAAACCTATAGTGCTGTGCTAGTGATTGTCAAAGGTAAGAATAATGTCTGCAGGTACTTACTCTTGGCAACTTTATGCACACTAATTGATCCCTATGCTGTCAGAATGAGTATGTACATTCACTTGGATCAAAGAAGAAATTATTGATAATTTGGGGTGGAAAAGCTTTAAACCCATGTAATGTTTGAAGCTTGCAAATTCACACTGAGTAGTTCTTTTTGGGAGAAGTAAGTTTTCATTTGTGGCTTGAACAACCAGGTCCATTTATACTTAGCTGAGTCATGTCTTGTATATGTCGCCTCCTGAGATGGTTTGAGTTTTTGGATTGCTATGTCTTGGGGGTGTTGTTTACACTTGGGTATTTCCAAAAGATATAGCCAGTCAGTAAACAAAAGTGACCAGATTTAAAAAAAACTTTGTGCAATCATAAAGTTAGTTTAATATTAAAACTACAAGTACAGTAGTTTATAAATCATGTATCAGTCAGAGAATATCATAATTTTATTGAGGCTGGCACATACGTCAGCACAATAATGACACAATAATAATGTTAAAATACAGTTGGCCCTAATAAATCACCAACCTTTAAATTGAAATTTTATCAACTAATGACAGTCACCTTTGCCTTCCAGCTCAGTCTCTACTTAGCAAAGTGCTTGCAAGTGTTCGAAGAGGGTGTAGCATTACACCTATTTTCTGCTAGTGATGAATAGTTCACAGTTGTTGTGATAGCTAGCTGCAAACTCACTTCTGACACCGTTATGTGGGTGACTTTCCAAGTGACGTCTTCAGGTTTGCAGCATTAGTCTAATATGTCCTAATTATTTGCCAACTAAGCCTACGTTGATATAATGATCTTCACAGATGTACACATTTTGTATTTGTACAGTTCTAATTTTAGCCAGAAGTGTAGCAATAATGTTTTGCTACCTTGTTCCTATGTCTTAATCTTGACACTCATGCCACAAGCACCTAAGAGAAAGGTCACAGAAACTTAGCCAAATACCAGTCCAACGTTGCAGTGGCGTGTGTCCATGTGAAGGGATTAGGAGTGTGAAGTTCATGACATTTAAGGCTGTTTTTTTGTAAACATGTTTAGATTTCAAATGATTGACTTCAAGCTGGTAAAGTAGAGCCAAAGGCAGTCTGGATACAAACAGATTAAACCTCATATAAATGTAAGAAATGCATTTATTTTATTTGATGGTCAGCTTTTTTCTTGCCTTATATGCTGTTATTTTTTAAGGGCGTTTCCCCCCTAAATGGACCCAATATACCACAAACAGGCAGGTCCTTTTGTGTTACACGTTTAAGTCCACTTATATTGTGAACACCACAAAGGTCACTTGCAGCTGGTTTCCCTTCTGGTTCACTTTAACTGAACTGGCTAAGGTTTATCTGAGGTATACTATATGTGAAACCATCCTATTTATTTATAATTTATCATTTGCAGCCTTGAAGACCCAATCAATATGAAATCAAATTGTAGGGCACTGCCAGATCATGACTGCCAGTCAAAAAGAAATTGTCTTCTGTATGCTCACACTAACATGTATCCTTGCCAGAGCCAAAGATTCCATTCAAAAAGAAGCTGCAGGATGTCGAGGTGAAGGAAAAGGAAACGGCAACTCTGCAGTGTGAGGTGCCAGTGCTGAACACAAAGGCCAGCTGGTTTATGGAGGAGACCCGTCTGGAGGAAAATGCCAAGTACCGCATGGATGTGGAAGGGACCCTGCGCCGCCTCACTATTCACAATGTCACCACCAATGATGATGCCGTGTACATCTGTGAGATGAAGGAAGGCAGCCGCACTGTGGCCGAACTTACAGTGCTGGGTATAAGCTCTATTCCAGTATGGGTGGCCAGAATGATGATGAATAAACTGGTGCAACACAAAAGATATTGTTCATGTGGTTTTTCTCTGCACTTTCAGGCAACATCACTAAAAAGCTGCCGAGGAGGACAGTGGTGCCGGTTAGTGATACCGTGATCTTCTGTGTGGAACTGGAGAAACCAGTAGATGATGCATACTGGACCAGGAATGGGGAGAGGCTAAAAGAGGACTCCCGAATTATTATCGCCCGCATTAACAGACAGTACACACTGACCATTCGCGAATGTACTGCAGAGGACTCGGGTGAGGTGGCTTTCATCGCCCATGACTGCAAGACATCCACCCGCTTCTCTGTCACAGGTGAATGCATTTGTAAATCAGACCACAACCTTTCCACAAGATTTTACAAGCGGTTTTCTATGTTCTAATGATTTGAAAATGTCATACTGTATGTACCACAGTAATCACGTCAAATCGAATGACACCACAGCTAATATGTGGTGACTGTACTAGTGCATTTCTTTAATAAAGTTTCAACAGTAAACATAATTGCTTTTGACATTTAGAAAGATTCCATTTCTTTAACCTGATTAACAATATTCTAATCTTTGACCTCAGCACCAAGGAAACATCCCCCAGATCCCCCAGTTGAGCCAGTGGTGCGGAACAAGACAGATTCATCGATCACGCTGTGCTGGTCTCCACCAGACAGTGAACGGCCTGTGCCCATCACCGGCTATCTCGTTGAGCGCAGGAAGGTGGGAGCCCAAACCTGGGTTAAAGTCACTAGTACGTCTGTGTCTAGAACTGAATACACCATCAGTGAAAATTCAGAAGAAGCAAGCTATCAGTTCCGCATCTCAGCGGTCAATGATTTTGGTCAGAGTGCCTACTTGGAGGTTCCTGGAACGTTTTACCTTGGTGAGAAAGTTTTTTGTTGTCGTTGTTGTGGACAGTCTTTATATTTAAACTAAAATAAACTGTTTTAAATCCAGTAAATATATTTAAGTTTATTTGTTCAGAGCCCACAGCATCAGTGAAGACAGGCCTGGTGAACTGCAGTGCACATGTAGGTGAAGAAGCTACCTTCACTGTTGAGCTCTCAGCCGTATGTTCCAGCTCCTGGACCATAAATGACAGAATGATCCGCAGTGGATCTGAGTATCTGATCACACGCTCAAAGACCACACATACGCTGGTCATCAGGGAGGTGTCCATGGAACTAAATGGAGCACAGGTCAAGTTTGTGGGTGGTGGATCTCAGAGTGTTTCCACGCTTACTGTGAAAGGTAAGAGAGGAAACGTTTCTGAAAACTTAAACAGAATAACTTCAACAACATTCCTGATATTTTGTATTGATCTTCTCTAGCCGCACCCGCACGTTTCACCAATAAGTCTTCTCAGGTGGAGGTGTTTACTTTCAGCATGCACTCCTCTGCTCAGATGTACACAGAAGTGTCCGGTTCAAGCGTCCAGGTGACAACATATACTTTTTTTGTCAAAATAAAAACAAAATCCACAGAAAATACATTAAGTCTCGTTCAACCAACTTTGAGATGCATTGCCCAAAGGGACCAACACCAAATATTTATTAAATGTGTGGACATGATGGGATGTAGTTTTTATTTTTTGAAAGTTAACTGCATGTACTGTCTGTGCTTTAGGTTGTTTGGATGAAGAATGGGAAGGAGCTGAGGATGGGTAAAAAATATGAAGCCACAAGTGTGGAGCGTAAACGCACACTGACAGTCCACAACGTTGACTGTGAGGATGTGGGCATCTATGAATGCATGTGTGATGGCGATAAAATGTCTGTCCAGCTCGCCCTTAAAGGTGAAACAAGCTGCTTCAGTTACTGACCTTCAGTTATCTTATGGTTTTATAGCCTGTATTTATATTTCAAGCCTAAAGTAGAACAAATTATATTTACAATTAATTTACATACATGAAAGTGGAACCATTTTAAATTGTATTTATAGTGAAGAGCGTATCCTGCCAAATAATAGAGGAGAGAAATACACAGTGGTGCATGCTGTTTGCCATTAAAACCAGTGCTGAGTAGTGAGTGCTTCATAGCCCAGCACGGAAAGTTCAGAGTGGATAAATGGTGTAAGCAGTCAGTGTTGACATCTACTGTAGGAGCAGCTGGGCTTTGGCTGCTCAACAGGAAGTGTTGGAGGGTGTGTTTGTCAGGTAACAGATCTGCTTAGCACTCATGCAATTTCAGGTATCAAATTCAGTATACTTTGGGATGTGATGAGTATTTTTGATATGTACATGTGTAAATTTTTGATATGGGTTGTCACATTTGTGTGTCAGCATTTTTCACTGTCAAATTATATACAAATGGACAGTGGATGTCATTATGTTTCTTATGCCATGTTTAATGTGTGTTTTATAATGTATTTCTATACCTAATCATGTTGAAATCAGAGAGGTGTGGCATCTAATCCTTCATTTTCCCCTGACAGAAGAACCAGCTAAGTTTGTTAACAAGCCGAGGGCTCAGCCCCAAGAGAGTGATGCTCTTGTGGGCGACGTGGTGTTGAGCTGTGAGGTTGGTTCTCCTGGAACTGCTGTTGTGTGGAAGAAAGAACAGTCAGAAATAATGGAGGACAAGAGGACAACTTTTATATCTCAGGGGACACAAAGGAAGCTGGTCATCAGGTGTGCCAAGCAGAGCGATGAAGGACACTACTCGTGTGAGACGGCAGAGGACAAAATGACATTCCTGGTCAAGATAAAAGGTATGACTATGCGCTAATTAGTCTGAAACTAAAAATTTAAATGAGCAGGATTAATCAGACATGCCACAATACCTAACTAATATCATAACTTTATGGTTTTTTAACAGTTTTTTTAACAATTTGAACAGTTAAATTCTAAAGTTATACCAGCCTTGTATAAGTTATATTAAAGTTTAGCATGTCATTTATTATGCAAATGTCAAATCTTTTTGAGGACAGTAATGGTCCTTCCAAGGTACAGCTCTTTTTCGAGTACCTAAGGTATTGTAGTAGTTATAAAAGGTAAACTTGAAAACAAATAATTGTAGATTAGTCTCCGGGAAACAATCGCTTAGAGGTTATTGAAATTTGCACAAAACGTATTAAGCTAGTGTGTGTTTGTCAATTTTGGAGATGTTTGAGGTCTTTTTGAAGTCCTGAACTGTATCCTTTTTGATGTTTCATTAAAACAATGAATGTCCTTTTTAGAAACTCGTGCAGCTTTCTCCAACAAAGACTCTTATCAGAAGGAGGTGAAGGTTTCAACCTCCCAAAAGGCCACACTGAGCTGTGAAGTTTCTGATGCCAAAACTGAGGTGAAATGGTTCAAGGATGGCAAGCAGTTGATTTCCAGTAAGACTGTCCACATGGAGTCAAAGGGCAAGAGCCGTCAGCTGGTGCTGGAGAATGTGGAAAAGAAGGATGCTGGAGAATATACCTGTGAAGCTGGAAATGAAAAGCTGGTCTTTAAGATTCAGGTGGAAGGTAAGAACAACATGCCAGCGTTTTGGGGTTTTTTAAGGCTCCAGTGACTCAATCATCCTTGACTAAACCAATCTTTACATAAAACTAAATGCAGTTTCTGATACTGTATTCCTAAATCTTTACTTCTGCCCCAGACATTCAAGCCGCCTTCTCCAACAAGGACTCCTATCAGAAGGAAGTCAAAGTAGATGCTTCCCAAAAAGCCACCCTGAGCTGTGAAGTGTCTGTCGTCAAGACTGAGGTGAAATGGTTCAAGGATGGCAAACAGTTGAGCTCCAGTAAGACTGTCCACATGGAGTCAAAGGGCAAAAGCCGTCAGCTGCTGCTGGAGAACGTGCAGAAGAAGGATGCTGGAGAATATAGCTGTGAAATTGGAAATGAAAAGCTCGTCTTTAAGATTTGTGTGCAAGGTAAGAACACCATGGCCGTGTTTTGGCTTGTTTTTTTAAGGTTCCAGTGACTCAATCAAACATGAGCAAAGCACAGTTTACATAAAACTAAATGCAGCTTCTGAGACTATATTCCTAAATTTTTATTTCTGCACCAGACATTCAAGCTGCCTTCTCCAACAAGGACTCTTATCAGAAGGAAGTGAAGGTTTCAGCCTCCCAGAAAGCCACACTGAGCTGTGAAGTGTCTGACGTCAAGACTGAGGTGAAATGGTTCAAGGATGGCAAACAGTTGAGCTCCAGTAAGACTGTCCACATGGAGTCAATGGGCAAAAGCCGTCAGCTGCTGCTGGAGAACGTGCAGAAGAAGGATGCTGGAGAATATACCTGTGAAATTGGAAATGAAAAGCTCGTCTTTAAGATTTGTGTGGAAGGTAAGAACACCATGGCCGTGTTTTGGCTTGTTTTTTAAGGTTCCAGTGACTCAATCAAACATGAGCAAAGCACAGTTTACATAAAACTAAATGCAGCTTCTGAGACTATATTCCTAAATTTTTATTTCTGCACCAGACATTCAAGCTGCCTTCTCCAACAAGGACTCTTATCAGAAGGAAGTGAAGGTTTCAGCCTCCCAGAAAGCCACACTGAGCTGTGAAGTGTCTGACGTCAAGACTGAGGTGAAATGGTTCAAGGATGGCAAACAGTTGAGCTCCAGTAAGACTGTCCACATGGAGTCAATGGGCAAAAGCCGTCAGCTGCTGCTGGAGAACGTGCAGAAGAAGGATGCTGGAGAATATACCTGTGAAATTGGAAATGAAAAGCTCGTCTTTAAGATTTGTGTGGAAGGTAAGAACACCATGGCCGTGTTTTGGCTTGTTTTTTAAGGTTCCAGTGACTCAATCAAACATGAGCAAAGCACAGTTTACATAAAACTAAATGCAGCTTCTGAGACTATATTCCTAAATTTTTATTTCTGCACCAGACATTCAAGCTGCCTTCTCCAACAAGGACTCTTATCAGAAGGAAGTGAAGGTTTCAGCCTCCCAGAAAGCCACACTGAGCTGTGAAGTGTCTGACGTCAAGACTGAGGTGAAATGGTTCAAGTATGGCAAGCAGTTGAGCTCCGGTAAGACTGTCCACATGGAGTCAAAGGGCAAAAGCCGTCAGCTGCTGCTGGAGAATGTGGAGAAGAAGGATTCTGGAGAATATACCTGTGAAGCTGGAAATGAGAAGCTTGCCTTTAAAATTCAAGTGACAGGTATGTCCTTGTGTTTGTCTGTTGGGTTGAACAAAAGAGTTTGATATATGCTTTGCCTCACAAGATTTTATTAATGTGTCTTCAAGAAGAGGTACAATGACAAGTAGAATAATTTTTTGCCCATTTCAGTGGTACAGAACCAAAAACAAGTTACAGTCTGCAATGTAATTAGCTTTTTTGTGGATTCATTTGCAGTTTATTTTGCATTCCTAATTTCTTAACCATCTAGTGTTTGCTGTATCTGTTGTATAGAATCTTGAGGGATATATTTACTCAAAGCATACTGTTTTCTCATATTGTCCATTGCCCAACCAGACATTCAAGCTGCCTTCACCAACAAAGACTCCTATCAGAAAGAAGTCAAAGTAGCAGCTTCCCAGAAGACCACACTGAGCTGTGAAGTTACTGACCTTAAGACTGAGGTGAAATGGTTCAAGGATGGCAAGCAACTGAGCTCCAGTAAGACTGTCCTTATGGAGTCAAAGGGCAAGAGCCGCCAGCTGGTGCTGGAAAATGTAGAGAAGAAGGATGCTGGAGAGTACACCTGTGAAGTTGGAAATGAGAAACTTGCCTTTAAAATTCAGATGACAGGTATGGGAACATCCTTTTGTTTGTCTTTTGGCTGTCTATTTCTATTTTAGGTTTTCTTCCTTATGAAATAAATCAAAATTACAATCAATCAGTGAAGCTTGACAAAAGCTACTTTTACATGTAGCGAAAGAGTTTGTCCTTGATGAAAGAGACCATTGAGTAAGATACAATTAACTTGTGTTTGTAGATTTAGTGACACATACGTTTTCTGATCAAGAAGTAATTTCAAAATTAAAAAGCAATTTCTTGTTTATTTCAGTGCTACTGGAAAAGTAATAGTCTGCAGTAAGATTTGGATTTGTTTGCTTAATATACATTTTATGATTTTTGATCTCTTCTGGATTTCTCAACCATTCAGTCTCTGCAGTATTTGATGTCTATAACTTAAAATAAAATATTTACTCAAAGAATACTGTTTTCTAATATTGGATCCATGTTGCAATATGCCTGCCCAACTAGATATTCAAGCTGCCTTCACCAACAAGGACTCCTATCAGAAGGAAGTCAAAGTAGCTGCTTCCCAAAAAGCCACACTGTGCTGTGAGGTTTCTGACCCCAAGACTGAGGTGAAATGGTTCAAGGATGGCAAGCAGTTGACCTACAGTAAGACTGTCCACATAGAATCAAAGGGCAAGATCCGTCAGCTGCTGCTGGAAAACGTGGAGAAGAAGGATGCTGGAGAATATACCTGTGAAGTTGGGAACGAAAAGCTGCCATTTAAGATTCAGGTGACAGGTATGGAAACCATTTTGGACTGTTCATTTTGGTTCTGTGCATCTTAACAGTCTTCTTTGGGTTATTTAAAAGCTGCTATGAAAATATTTATTGTCTCTTGTCATATTCAACGTAATTGCAACCCTACTGTTGATTTTCTCTGTAAATAGGCAAACTCTTTGAATTAAATAAACTCTCTTCTTATTAGAGCTCAAAGCTGCCTTCACCAACAAAGACTCTTATCAGAAGGAAGTGAAAGTTTCAGCCTCCCAAAAAGCCACACTGAGCTGTGAAGTTTCTGACCTCAAGACTGATGTGAAATGGTTCAAGGATGGCAAGCAGTTGAGCTCCAGTAAGACTGTCCACATGGAGTCAAAGGGCAAGAGCCACCAGCTGGTGCTGGAGAATGTGGAGAAGAAGAATGCTGGAGAATATACCTGTGAAGTTGGGAATGAGAAACTTCTCTTTAAGATTCAGGTGGAAGGTAACATTTTCTTGCACATTAGTGGACTCCACATACTTGTCTTCCTCCAGAACATGGTCACAATTAAGTGATTAAATTTTTTCCTCAGATGTTTCTACCAAATTCCAGAAGACATCCGTAACAAAAGAAACTGTGATGGTTGAGTCAACAGAAAAGGTTGTTTTAAAAACCGAGGTGATGTCAGAGAATTGTAGTGTTAAGTGGTTCAGGGATGGAATAGAACTGAAAGACGGCTCAAAGTATGAGATGAAACAGGAAGGCCGCTCACGTGTCCTCATCGTTAAGTCCTCTGAATCTAAAGACAGCGGCACCTACTTTTGTCAGACGGCTGATGACAAGGTTGAGTTCAAGGTTCAGGTCAAAGGTAAAAGCTAATTTGCAATTTCAAAGTAAGAAAAAGTACAAATGGTTTAAGGTGTTGATAATTTCTCAAAGTAAAATTTGTTCATTTACCAGATTAATGGCAGTTTTCATAATTTTTTATTGCATTTTTTTATTTATTCAATTCAATTCAATTAATGCTCATACATCTGGAGTTTTCAAAGTAAATTGTGTTGGATATAATTGCACTTATTGAAATAATAAATCTGACTGATCGCAGACCAAATGTAATTACATTTTTCCCTCATCTGTGCCCTGCAGATGTACCTTTAAAGTTTGTGGTGCCATTGCAGCCAGTGTCTGCAGTACTGGAAAGCACCATGACACTTTCCTGCAGTCTCAACAAAGCCACGAGTAGTGTCCTCTGGAAGCATAATGGCAAAGAAATCAAATCAGGTGGCAGATTCAGCATCCGCACTGATGGCGCCAACTGCATCTTGACTGTCTCTGCTGTGGCTCAGGAGGATGAAGGGGAGTACAGCTGCGATTGCAAAGATGACAAGACCTCCACCAAAGTCACTACTAAAGGTACGAACAATTAAGAGTCTATGTCTGAAAGTCATCGATTCTCATCAAAATGAACCAACACAATTTATTAAGCTTGTTTTAAGTGATAGATGTCCTTCATTATCATTTCTCTCAGTTTTTCAATCTAATTTCCCACAGCCCCACGTCTAGTGAGGTTCACTACCAAGCTGAACAATGTTGTTGCAAATGAAGGCAAAGATGCCATCTTTAAATGCTCCGTCACACCAGCCGATGTAAGTGTCAGATGGCTGCGTAATGACATTCCTATTACAGCTAGTCCCAAATTTAAGATCGCTCATGGGGGAAGCAGCCATTCCCTCACCATCACAGCTGTCACTCAGGAGGATGCAGGAGAGATCAGTATTGATGCCGAGGGGAAAGTGTGCAAAGCCACACTCCAAGTACAACGTAAGGATAAGTGACAGATACTATTGTTAATCGTAATGCAACATATTGTCAGGAAATACACAGACTACCTGTTTCTCAATACAAATATATCTGTATTTTGCAGAGCTTCCCATCACCTTCAAGAAGAAGCTTGCAGACATGACTGTTACTGAGCAGGACACAGTTCGTTTGGAAGTGGAGCTGAGTAAACCCTCAAAAGATGTGAAGTGGATGAAGAATGGTGTGGTACTACAGCAAGGAGAAAATATGGAGATCCATGTGGATGGTGCCAAGCAGGCTCTGGTCCTCAAGAGTGTGGCGTATGCTGACAGAGGACATTACTCATGTGAAACCCTAGATGACAAGACCCAGGCCAAACTGACAGTAGAGCGTATGGATTCCTTCATTATGTTACTCTATTACAGACTTACTCTTTCGATCATAATATTTTATGATTAAAATATACAGGAAATTATCAAATAAAAATATTTCATCTATGGATTTCCAATGTTTTTTTCTACCATTCAGTTAAGAAGATTCAAATAGTAAAAGGCCTAAAAGAGATTAAAGTGCAAGAAAAAGAGACCATCACTATGGAGGTGGAGCTAAGCAAGGCTGATGTAGAAGGTTCCTGGAGCAAAGATGCAAAGAAACTAAAGGCAGGACCCAATATCATCATTACAGCACTGGGCAACAAGCACTGCTTGACTATGTCCCAGCTGAAGATAAGTGATGGTGGAACTATTACTTTCCAAGCTGAGGATGTCCATACTTCTGGCAAACTAATTGTTACAGGTGAGTGTGTATATTCACATCGGTCTTTAAAGGGTTAGTTCACCCAAAAATGAAAAAATTCTGTCATTAATTACTCACCCTAATTACGAAGCTACGAGAATACTTTTTGTGCGCAAAAGAAAAAAAAACGACTTTATTCAACAATTCGTCTTTTTCTTTTGCGCACAAAAAGTATTCTCGTAGCTTCGTAATTAGGGTGAGTAATTAATGACAGAATTTTTTCATTTTTGGGTGAACTAACCCTTTAAAGACCGATGTGAATATACACACTCACCTGTAACAATTAGTTTGCCAGAAGTATGGACATCCTCAGCTTGGAAAGTAATAGTTCCACCATCACTTATCTTCAGCTGGGACATAGTCAAGCAGTGCTTGTTGCCCAGTGCTGTAATGATGATATTGGGTCCTGCCTTTAGTTTCTTTCCATCTTTGCTCCAGGAACCTTCTACATCAGCCTTGCTTAGCTCCACCTCCATAGTGATGGTCTCTTTTTCTTGCACTTTAATCTCTTTTAGGCCTTTTACTATTTGAATCTTCTTAACTGAATGGTAGAAAAAAACATTGGAAATCCATAGATGAAATATTTTTATTTGATAATTTCCTGTATATTTTAATCATAAAATATTATGATCGAAAGAGTAAGTCTGTAATAGAGTAACATAATGAAGGAATCCATACGCTCTACTGTCAGTTTGGCCTGGGTCTTGTCATCTAGGGTTTCACATGAGTAATGTCCTCTGTCAGCATACGCCACACTCTTGAGGACCAGAGCCTGCTTGGCACCATCCACATGGATCTCCATATTTTCTCCTTGCTGTAGTGCCACACCATTCTTCATCCACTTGACATCTGTTGAGGGTTTACTCAGCTCCACTTCCAAACGAACTGTGTCCTGCTCAGTCACAGTCACATCTGCAAGTTTCTTCTTGAAGGTGACAGGAAGCTCTGCAAAATATGGATACATTTGTATTGAGAAACAGGTATTCTGTGTGCTTCCTGCCGATATGTTGCATTACGCATAACAGCTGTATGTCACTTATCCTTACGTTGTACTTG